ACACATCATGCCTTTTATAAATAGAGATTCATGGTTTCGTTTGTTAGATAGTTCTATATTATGAACTCCTTCCGGAGAAACGAAACAAAGGATTGATTCGAACAAGTAAAGTTCCTAATTGAACTGAAGGCTGAATTCAGCGGACAGAGGCTTTTTCTTTGTTTTTTAATTGATTTTTTATGAAGTGTTAAAGTTGCTACAGTTTCACCCGTTCGCCGTATTCAGCAGTCATTTCTAATTTACAATGGCCTTTAGAGAATACTCTTCATGGAAAACGTTTTAGTTCCCTGGAAGACTGAAAAAAGCGTGTAGAGTACTTATTTGCTGAGAAGATAAAAAAAAGATAGGACAATTGAATGATGAAGGTTTTTGAAAGATGTCAGGTAGAGAGAAGCACGAAATGTTAAATAAACCAGTAAAAACGAAGAAGAAGAAGAAGAAGAAGAAGAAGAAGTATGAGGCATAGAAACAGAAGAAAAGGAGGAAAAGGAGCAGAAATATAGAAGTTAAAAAAAAGAAGGGTAACAGCAAAAGAGATGACGAGAAAAGAAACGAAATCGACATAAAATATACAAATAGTAAACTTAGTAAAATTAAAAGAAAATTTATTATTTTTTCCTCACGGGATTGTTATGAGTTTTACTGAAGCCAGAGGCAAAATTAAAAAATATATATATTTGTTCATATCGAGATAGAAAAAATCCTAATCGATATTTCAGTTAAGATTTTCACGATTTCAGGATTATCAAAAATAAAAACGCTCAGGAGACGTAAATAACTTTTTCAACAATATCTAATTCCCAATACCCTCTCCACACACACACACACACACACACACACACACACACACACACACACACACACACACACACATATATATATATATATATATATATATATATATATATATATATATATATTATTTGTGTGTTCGGAAAATAACTACGTATTTTACTGCTATGAATTATGAGTCAACCAAGCAAGGTCGAACCAAAATTGAAACTACGTTCTAAATTAGTTTAACTCAACTTCTAGCCGATAGGGAATTTCAAAATGGGTCCTAAAATGTAGCCAGGTGCACTAAAGTTAACAAGAGAATGATTTATGGCTTATTTTTATATTTAAAAAATATTCATTTTTAAAAAGCTACAGTCACCAAGTACGTGTCTTCCATGTCTTTGCCAAGATTTTGTCATTTGATACTTTAAACTGGATACTAAATTCCTAAATCTTGAAGCAATTCTTAATAATATTTTTCCTTCCGCCTTCTTTAAGAGATTTAAATCAGTCATTACTGGCTTCTCTAAAAAAGATAGATTCTTCATAAACGAATAATGTATCGCTAATCTTCCTTGGGAATGCCAAACCAAAATTTCATATTTCCAAATTTCATGACTCAAAAAGAATACATAATTTTCATTTAATACTTTGTAGAATAGCCATTATTCACTTCTACAGCAACAAGCCTCTTCTAGTTCTCAATTAGTGATTTACAAATTTTAGTTGGTATTTTGTTACATTCTTTTTCGCATATGGTCTTCAGATCCGGGATGTTTGTTGGAGCTCTCGAATGGATTTGAATTTTCAAATAACGTCAGATTCTCAATTGGGTTTAAATCTGGGAACTGACTTGGCCATTTCAGAATATTTACATTATTCTTAGCAAGCCATTCTGCAATGTTTAGGATCATTATCTGCTTGGAAAATCCAAACAGGAGGAAGTTCAAGATTTTCAACCGAAATCATTAAATTTGCTTCCAAAATATTTTGATATGCTGCAGCATTCATTCTACCATCTATTATTAATGTTGCCAGTACCTTTTTCAGAAAAACATCACCAAACCATGATGCTGCCACCACCAAATTTCACTGTTGGAAGTGTGTTCTTTTGTTTGAAGGCATTGCCATCTTTTCTTCATACATGATTTCTAGAATTACGTTTAAACAACTCAATTTTGATTTCGTCTATCTATAATACTCTTTCCCAATACGATTTTTCCTATCCTTATGTTCAGGAATGAATTTCAACCTGGCATATCTCTGTGTCTTTTCAATAGCAGTGGACTTTTCTAAGGGGAGAGTGACTTTAGATTGTTCCTATGAATTTCATTTTTTTATTGTCCGTTTAGTGATGAAACAATCATCCTGCAACTCTTGACGAGTAACCATTGGATTTTGTTAAATTTGACGCATTAATTTTGTCAAAGATCTTCGTCTGTTCTCCTTTGGTTTTCAACAGAATTTTAGATTTTATACCTTGCACTGAATGAACTAAGGGTAGTAAGTGAAATATTCAGGTTTGTTTGAGATTCTCCTGTAACTTTTTACCTTCTTTCCAAAGCTTAAGAATCAGTTAATTTTGCGAATTTGTCAATTCTTTACCTCTTGCCATGATGAAAACCTTCTTGCCCGAATATCAGTTACAGAATTTCCTGTTTGTATTTTTTAGGCTAAAAATCACTACTGATAACATCATTGGAACATTCAAGAACACTTCACTTGAATAATCTAGTGTATTAAAGCAATTTAAAAAGTTTCAAATCTGAAATTTACATTGTATGAATAAATGGGATTTAATCCGATTATTTTCTGTTTTCTATGCATATTTACGTATTATCCATCTGTGTACTGTTAATTATATGAAAATATGTTTATTCATTAGTTGGAAATACAGTAAATTAAAACGTTATGTGTACGAATATTTGTTTCACCTTACTGTATATATATATATATATATATATATATATATATATATGGGGTGTATTAGTAATGAAATTTAGAAATATGAAATTTTGGTTTAGCATTTCCAAAGATTAGCGATACAGTGTTCATTTAAAGGGATTTATGACGAACCTGTTTCTGTTTATATATATATATATATATATATATATATATATATATATATATATATATATATATATATATATATATATAATAAAAAATGCATGTGTATGTATTTATGTATATGTATGTGGAAAGTGTGTGTCTATGGATATGGGTGGATATATATATGTGTGTGTAAATGTATATATATGTGTATGTGTGTATATGTATATATGTAGGTGTAATTATTTGTATATTATATGCGCGGTACTTATTAGAAAGCGCTTAGTATCAAAGATAGAGCTAACATATTGAATCAGATATATGTATATGTGTATATATATATATATATGTATGTGTGTGTGTGTATGTATGTGTGTATTTGTGTGGATATGTGGATATATGTGCATGTGTGTACATGGGTATATGTATGTGTGTATGTGGGTACACGCCTATGTGTATGTATATACGTGTATATGTTATTGTGTATGTATGTATTCACATGTGTCCTTGCTAGATTAGATAATCGTTATATTTATTCTTTATATGTTTATATTTGATTTGTAACCTGTAGTCGATATTAATTTTGTCAAATTTTCTTAATTACACAGCGGCCCTTTCAGTAAATGTCCTTCAGTTTTAGTTTACCCCGCCTCATCTCTCTCTCCCACCTCTTCTTTCCTTTTCTCTCCCTCCCTCCTATTCTGATCTTTAACATTAAATCGTCTATGGTGTGTGTTTGTCACCACGAAATGTATCTTTAATGTATTAGACATCCGACAACATTCATATTTCCCCCTTCCACGCACCTCTAGTTAGAAAAAACCCTCTCTGTTAAGTTTTAGTCTCCCACCTTCTCCGTCTATTACCCCTCTCTTTAACACTAACATTCGTCCCACACTCTCATACTTACACTCTCTCCAAATTCTATTTTTATTTCCGGAGTTATTCTTTTCTGTTTTCTTTTTAAATTTGTAGGTCTGATGAATTGGATCGTATTTACGATTCCAATGGAATAAATTATGACCATGGAATATTAGTGTTTAAGCCTTTTTATTATATCCTTACTCTGTCCAGGACATTGAGTTCTACCTGGATTCTATCCTCTCGGAATTTTTATTCAAAAAATATACATGTATGTGTATGCTCCTATATCTATATATTTTGCATATGTATATTTACAACTAATATTATCTATCTATCTATCTATCTATCTATCTATCTATCTATCTATATACATACATACATACATATATATATATATATATATATATATATAAGTGTATTAGTAGTGAAATTTGGAAATATGAAATTTTGGTTTAGCCTTTCCAAAGATTAGCGATACAGTGTTCATTTAAAGGGATTTATGACGAACCTGTTTCTGTTTATATATATATATATATATATATATATATATATATATATATATATATATATATATATACATTGTATCAAGGAATCATTGAATATCGCCGGCTATGTTTTCCTCTGAGAAATACAAAACCTTATTATAAATATCGACGACGGGAAGATGCTCCTTGAATAATTCGTGGAAAAATGTCAAGTTTTCAACTGTCGTATCTATTCTTGCACTGATACAACAAAAGTATTTCAAGAGAACACACATTTCGAACGTATCCTTCTATATACTTGCTCAGATGAATCGTCTTGTTTCTTTCATTGTACATCCTTTCTACTTTTGTGCGAATGAAGTGTTTCACTCTTGAATTGACTTCGTCACGAATTCGACATCCGTGGCGAGGATCGATCGATGTCGGGGGTTGTTCAGCTTCAAGTGTCTTAAGAAAGAATAAGACGAAGAGGAAGGGCCGACCTAACAGTAAAAAAAAAAGAATGTCCCTTTTCCAACTTCTGTAGATGCTCCGTTCTTTTTGAAGGATTCACAAGGAATCAAGATAAATTCAGACAAGCCAGTTCAGTTGAGCAGAAAAAAAACTGTTGACGAATGTCGCCTTCAAGAAAAATCTCAAAGAACTTATTTATTGTCTTCATAAAAGACACTAACCGTGATTATTATCAGCGTAAGGCAACGGAGATATGGTTTTATAGACGAATACTGAAAACCACCCTCAACCCCTTCTGTTAGTAAGGAGCAAGTTCCACTCGGATAGCTTCTGTTGCTTTGTGGAACAGAATCACAATCAGATGCATTCCCGACCACTGCGGGCTTATGGAAACACCGGTTCTCTTGCGATCACCGAAGTTAAATAATGCCGAGCTTGGTTAGTACCTAAATAAGTGACCGATTTGGAATACCAGGTGCTCTAAACTTGAATACTCGGGTGGTGTCATGGATAATAGCTCTGAACTGGAAATCGGAAAACCGAGTTCTAATATCAGTCGGTATTTGCTTACGCACAAATAGCCTTGGGAAAGGTATCACTCCGCCTCATCTCACCCCGTTGTGGACATATTACTTTTTTGTCCTCGATTTTTGCTCTGATGATAGATGATCGAAAAACCAGTTTAGTTGTTTTTAATCAATATATATCACATTACCAATTTAAAGTAATATATATATATATATATATATATATATATATATATATATATATATATATATATATATATAGTTAATTTCACCAGAGACCTTTTAAAGTACCCTGGATCCTCAGACATTACTTCTAACAGGTGAAACGAAAAATGAAATGAAAATTTACACTTTTGACGGGTAGTATTAAGTTTATGTAATTAAACAGAGAAGGTAGCGATGAGTGGTGTGAGAGACATGGTCGAGTTTAGAGAGGGTTTATTTCTATATTTCTCTCTATCATACTTAATATTGAGGAAGGAGTGGGGTAAGGATCAGACATTGACCTATTTAATCGATCAACTTAAAGGAAATGATATGTTGAAAGGGAAGGAGAGAAGAGAGAAAAAGAAAAAAGGGTAAAGTAAAGAGAAAAGAGATGTATTTAGGGTTTACGGGGGAAGAAGAGGGGTGTTATAATTTTAGCAATTTAGGTAAAAAAAAAACAGATTTTAACGTTTGATAAGAATTTAAATGTTTAAATTAAGGGTTAACAGTATATGTATATATGAAGAAAAATATAGTGAAAAAAGAACAAAAATCCTAATATGCGATTATGCGTTTTAATGTTTAATGTCAACGTCGGACGTTTCGGTCTAATAGACCATCTTCAGGACATATTCATAAAACATACAGATAACTGAAACATCGCCCACGTTACGACGACGTGATCATATTTAAACGGAACGCTGATCTTATAAAAGATTTCAGTTATCTGTTTGGATTGGTATTGCTTTTATGTCCATCGTCTTTTTCATGTTGGTCTATGTTAATTATGTTTTATGAATATGTCCTGAAGATGGTCTATTAGACCGAAACGTCCGACGTTGACATTAAACATTAAAACAGCATAATCGCATATTAGGATTTTTGTTTTTTCAGTATATTTTTCTTCATACTGTCGGATCTATATCCATATATTTGCTTACATATATATATATATATATATATATATATATATATATATATATATATATATATGTGTGTGTGTGTGTGTGTGTGTGTGTGTGTGTGGTGTGTGTGTGTACTGTTAACCCTATTTTTTGCTATGAATGTTATTTTAATATCTCTGGGGTTTGTTTTTTTTTTTGCTTTTTTTTTTTTTTTTTGGGTTTTTTTTTTTGCTGTAATAAAACTTTTCGGCTGAACATACTTCCCAAAATGTGAACAATTTATCAAAATTTTTGGTCATGTTGAGAACTTTTCAGCAAACGACGTAAATAATTCCCTTTTTTTATCAACTCATATTTTCTAAACTTCAATGCGACCATTTCTTTTTTCTGTTAATTTTATATACATTACAACAGAAATGACGCGGAAATTATTCTATGTAATTCTGTATGAATAAAAAAGAAATTGCTTTCAATCGAAGGGAATTTCTAATATATTTATTTCTAGATGCGTTTACTTTTTTTATAGAGTCTTTATTCTTTCTTTTCTTTTTACGTAAAAAACGGAAAAATGTCGCATTATTTCTCATTTCTTTTCTGTTTTCTTTTATTCTTCCTTTGCTTCTTGTTTTGTTTTTTTTTTTTTCTTTTCTCGGTCTTTTCCATATTTTTATTCTTTTTTTTCGGTTTTAACTATTCTTCCTATTTTCTTTAATTCTTCAAATTTTTTTTTTCGATCAACGATATTTTTTCTAATTTGATTCGTCACTCTTTCCATTTTTTGACATTTTTCTTTCATTTCTTCTTTTCCTTCATTCTAGTCTTGTTGGTTTGTTTCTTTTGTTCCTTCCTTTTGGCGTATTTTCTTCATATGTTTATTTGTCCTTTCCTTCTTTTCTTCCTTTATTCCTTCCTTCCTACCATTTCATTCATTCCTTCCTACCTTCATTCCTTTATTCCTTCCTTCCTTCTTTCCTTCCTTTCTTTTGTTCCTCGCTTATCTTTATCCTTTAATTTCTTTATTCTTTTAATCGTTTCTTTTTTGTTTTGTTTATATTACTTTGCTTCTTTTTTAGTTATTCTTTCTTCTTTATTTCTTTCTGTATTTTTTAAAGATTTGTTTACTTAATTTTATTTTCTTTTTATATATTTTCTTTATCTTTTTTTCTTTATTTTCTTTTCTTCCTTTTGTTTCTTCTTTCTTTCTTTTGTATATCTTGTGTGTCTTTGTTCATCCTTCTTTCATTTACGTCTTTGCTTCACTTTCTACAGTTTCTGTATTGTTTATCATTTGTTGATTGTAGTTCGTCCTATCTTTCTCATCTTTCTCTCGGTTCTCCATTCGTCTTTTTTCTATCATTTAACTTCTATTCTTCATCTCTTTACGATTTTTCCTACGCATTTTCTTTCTTTATCCGTTACTCTTTTCGTTCCATTTCCTCTCCCATTTCAAAAGAATCTTTTTCTGGCTTCCTTTTTAATGTTCTCTATTTCTTCATTGACTTATCATCTCGCAGCAGAAATCTTTGTCCGTAACCCACAGCGGCATATGAAATTGACCATGTATCATATCCTACTATTAGTGCATCTCTATCTCTTGCGTTTGATGCCAACCGCTTCAGGCTGTTTACTGAGCTCTGTAACATATCCTATATATGCCAAATGGGTTTTAAATCTAGCAAGAACGAAAGCTAATGGAGGACCTGTAAATAGGTCCAGTGTTCCTGGTATCATTTCCGTGTCACATGCGGACATTGTGGAATTTGCATTAACTTTGCCCGTACAAGCCAGAACCACCGATCATAAAGCGTTTCGGATGGTCAATAACAAGCTCAGTGTGTGTTGCACATGTCAAGACGGATTCCGATTTGTGGTCCGCGTAATCTCTAACCGAATACTTCCTACTACAACCTGGCACAGCCACTGCTGACATGCTAGATCTATAGTCCCATGTGGTTTTCTCTACACACAAAACTCGACTGCCTGCACCAAAATAAGCGAAAATATGTCTGACAATATGACACTGTGCCTAACTTTCACGAGTAAAAAGGCGTTATTCTTTGTCCCAGGAGAATTGCAGTAACGGATACCGTTGGGTCAATATTAGCATTATTTTTAGTCAACGTCTATGAAACTTGTAGCTTAACTGGTCCTGGTTAAGTGTAATTGACAAAATTCTCACCAAGGGGAATTCACAATATTCAGAATAAACAATAAAAAGAAGAAAAAGTACAGGGAAAATAATACTAACCAAACAATATATATAGTTACATGAGAGTAAAGTGTCACTGCCGACACTTCAGTTTGAACATAGACGGCCAGTGAGCAAACACAGGCGATTCCATTTTGAATAAATAGATCACGTGATAGTAAAGGAAATGTCTGTATGGGAATTAGCGTGGCGTCTATACTGATCACTCTTCCTACACTTCTCTACTACTATACGGATCGCACTTTCTACACTCTCCTCTATCTCTATACTATCCTCTATAGTATTTCTCTATTCAGATCACTATACTGATTACTGTTCGAGGGAGGGATATTCGAATGCGTCTGACACCAGTATTGTTCAACGGCGTTACTATAGTTATATCTGCGATTACAAAGTCTCTACTACAGCGAGCATTACGACAGTGACAACGAGTATACGTTGACATTACAAAATATATGTAAGTTCAAATCAACGGTAATAAGGTACAAAAAGTCTCAAAGTAAGAATTGTGTTCACACGCAAAAGGGATACAGTCAAGTGGTTATAGCGTTCTGATTTTAAGCCAAGAAAAAAATATGGTGGATGAGATCGAGAATTAGTTCATTTTTATTGGTTAGGAAGAAATTCCATCATGCTTCTGTAAGATTTGTCTATAAATTTGGGGAGGGGATGTGCTTAGCAGTCATTCTGCATAGAATTTGGTGCAACGTGTGTTGACTGATGAATTGAGCGTCACCAATGTTGAATAGGCATGTGATTTCATGATTTATTTTTGTATGCCTACCGTCCTGTTCAGGTCCTGGCAATCGCATTCTTGCATTATCTTTAGGCGCCCGCAATTTTTAAATGCTGTTGATCTCTGTCTAAAATTGAAATCTTCCTGATATTCTCTTGTTTCTGCTGTTCACGAAAGAAACAGAGGAGTTATCACCTCGGCACGAGGTTCTCCTATCTTTTAAATCACTACATATTAAAAACAGTGTTAATTCCTACCTGTATTCTACGACTGTGATAGTTGCACTGCCACTGCTACGCTGTCTATTTACATATTACATCACACATACGTCATCAGAGTAAGTCCACTTCTACATATGGGTGAGGGTGAGATCACCTAGTGTACTGCTCTCTTCAGAATATGTATCAGTCTCTCTGTATTTCTCATCTCTCTGTCCCCTCTCTCTCTCTTCCTATATATATATATATATATATATATATATATATATATATATATATATATATATATATATATATATATATATATATATATATATATATATATATTGATTAATTGATTGTTAGATTCATACATGAGAAGTTTAATTTCACCAGTTACAAAGTATAAACAGCGTAAATCTATAAAATAAGGTCGTGCTCCGCCAAACACATAATTAGGGGGAGGGTGTATTATCTTTGAAAGATTAGAATTGTAAATCCTGCCTTTTACTTGATACCCAACATTGAATATTGATTATGAAAGGAAATTCGCAACGATTTCAGCAACTTTCCTCTGCGCAGTCAGCTGTAAAAAAAAGAGCAGCCAAGCTACCTGTCGAGTTATCAAAACAGGTATACAGATCTAAACTGAAATAGATAGATAGATAGATAGATAGATAGATAGATAGATGGAACAGA